GTAATGCTCGAGGTTCCTATCGACCTGGTGATTGTGTACTCGTACATATCGGGGGTGGTCGAAAGTTGAGCATGAGCTTCAGAATGGGACATATCATCGAGTGTCTCTCTGGGCGCCGGGTCAGAGTACGACTGGTCAATGGACTGGTAACGACTGAGAACCTCTACAACATTGTTATGCTCTATCCTTATGCTGGTAACGAGCTGGGCACTGCTGTGGTCTCTAGAGAAGGTATGTATATCGACGTTAAGAATGATTCTGAGTGGCGAGCTGCACGAGTGACCTATGATCCGTGCGACCGTCCTGACAAACTATGGATATGGTTCCTCGATGGTAACAACGATACTCCTATTATGGTACGCTTGGATAGTATCGAGTGGAGGCTCTCCTCTGATACTTGTGGTACACCACAAGGGGGGCGTGATGGCGCTGCCATTGGTCAACGCATATCCGTAGCCTATATCGTGTTGCGTAAGCGACAATGGTTCTCTGGAGTCATCGTGAGGTCTCGCTCGCCCAATATTGTTACTATTGCTTTCGATAACGGGTATGTTGATGAGATTGACCTATCGACTACTGGATATAAACTAAACACCCGTTCGTAGTTTGATTCTTCTTGCGCCAAAGGGCCTTTGTGTTCCAAGTCCTGGGCCGTTCCCCATCACAGCAACAATGGTGGTACTCTACTCGCAAAGTATAACTACAGTAATTGCCAGCGAACCCGAAGGCTCTTCTGGGTTTCCTCTGACCGTTCGAGACTATGCTGGAGGAATCATAAAGACATAACCAAGTGCCACCAGCATGGCAGACATAATGCATCAGAACTCATAATGAGTTCTCATGAGTTACTCATTCAGTGTTGGAGGCCATCAAAGCATCCTGTTGTCCGGAGTGGTGGGTATAGTTCATGGTCCAAGCACAACTACTTTCAAGAGATGCAGTGTGAGCAAACCCCAGCATATAGACAGTTCGATACTCAGGCTTACAGACCGTAGTCGATCCTGCTTGGTGCTGCTTTTCACTGCTCCTCAAAGACAGAACACTCGATCTAGCCATACAGACAACATCCGCTCGAGTAGGAATGCATAGTCGCACTCAATCGAACGATCAAAAACCAGATGTGTTGATATCAGCGTGGTAAGCTGAGCCTGATGAGCCATTCAGCGCTAGTCGGTTAGCATCTATACAGCGACTATTCAGGTTGGTAGGCCTGGACGATTTATGCCGGAACTCCGCACCGGTTTCGCGGAGTGACATATTTCTCGGTACAGGACGGATGAAAATACAGTCGGAGGCACATGAGAAAGGGTTGCATACGGGAGGATACGAAGCCTCAATAAATATCATCATTCAGGCTCACATACCGCTCTTATATTGTGAACCGTTTTCGATACAGTCAAACACCGAAAGATGTAATATGCCCAGCAACGGCGACATGCTCTACTAACGATTCACAAGTGAAGACACACCAGAAATATTGAGATCATGTTATGACCAACTCTAGGCCTCTTTGTATGAGCAGCCTTGTAGTAATGTTCAACGATTGCATTCAGAAAATGCTTATCTGCGAGACAGGTGAATCACTACCGCTAGCAGTACTGACGAGAGTATCGGTCAGGTTAGCAAAACTAGCATCCGAGAATCGATCTCTAAGGGAAGTTATATCATCGTTGAGAGGCAATATAAGAGTTGTAGCTCGCATACGGTGAGCCTTTCACGATCGACTCCCCGGTAGAGTCACTACTACAGGCCACTAGGTGGCAAGGAAGTCGGGGAGACGGTCGCTGTTCATCTTATAAGTGACGACACAGTGAGTCGTATTCACTGAACATGAGAGTGTCAGGCTAACCGACAGGTTGTATGCGATATGATGGATGGGAGAAAGAGAGCGATCCGTTTGGATGCTGCATTCGGCCCTACTGCATCACAAGATGACGTCTATGATTCTTCTATCAGAGACCTTGTACACGCAGTAAGCACAACTGCTCGGATTGTTCAAGTCCGCTCGGAAGAATGTGGCACACTCAAACGAGTTTGTAGGTTCTAGATGGCTACAACTCATGCATCTTCGCCTACGGCCCGACAGGCTCCGGGAAGACTTACACAGTATTCGGTTCTCCCGAGGGCAGCGCTCATGTGTGGGGCGACAATGGGTTGCACTCTGGTGAACAGGCCAGTTTGATGCGCTATTGCTCTCAGCGGACTACACGAGCGGATTATGAGAGATTTATTCAGTACCAAAGGAGGTCAAGGGGGTCATCACATGCTGATTTCGATGTCTATGGTTGAAATCTACAACGAATATATCTACGATCTCCTCGCTCCAGAAAAGTGAGGTGGTCCATATTCGGTTATTATATTGAATTATTGATTCTACCAAAATCAGCATTTGTCTACACCAGGCCTGCGATAGTGAAGGCTCTCTCGGGAAATCAACTTCGGGAAGGGAATGATAACATTATTGTCGAGGGTCTTCTAGAACTGTCTCTAGAAAATCTGAACGACGCTCTGAAGGTGCTCACGCTTCTTGCTGCCAAGATCATGTGTCTATGACCCGGCTTCTTCAGGCTTTCCAAGCGGCGGTGGCAACTCGTCGAACATCATCGACCAATATCAATTCGCATAGTTCGAGGAGTCACTGTGTTGTCACGCTGAGAACGAGTCTGCCATGCCCATATACAGCAACTTGTCGTCACGGGAAACTCAATCTCATCGGTAAGTTACTTAGAAATCACATTCAATCCAGTAAAAGTGCTCGAGCGTCCCAGATCTGGCCGGTAGCGAAAATGTTGGTCGGAGTGGCGCTAAGGGCAGTACATTAAGGGAAGCCCAGATGATCAACAAATCTCTGAGTACTCTGGTCAGTATTGTTGGTCTCACTTGGTTGTCTATTCCTCTCATATGCCCTAGGGTGACGTGTTGAATGCTCTCCTGGCTGCACAACAAAAGGATGGTGGAGGAAGTCAGTCGAAAACACATGTCCCTTATCGTAATTCCAAGCTCACCCTCATGCTCAAGGATTCGCTGGGTGGCAGCGCCAAAGTACTCATGATAGCACACTTAAGTGTAGGCTGAGGTCACCAGTGCCAAGATTATGCCTCGACGGTCTGGGTTCTGTTCAGGTATCGCCTTGCATCACAGATGTCTCACAGACTTTGTCAACACTGAAGTTTGCATCGAAAGAGCGGATGGTTGAGCTCGGCCCGGCCAACCTGAGTATGCCAACTTGGCATTGCCAAGCTAACGTATCTTTATATGACTTCATAGTCCTGCAACAATGTGGCAAAAGAAGGTAAAGCAGCAAGAAGCAACTCTCGCAGTAGGGACTTTAGAGTACAGCTTCTTGAGCACGCCTATGGCCGCTTGGTTGTCGACCATGAGCAGTACTGGTATTCGATCATCAACAGCTAGCTCAGAAATGAAGCTGAGCATGATGAAAGCAGCTAAGAGCTCAAGTGTCACCATATTTGCAGATGTTGGTCTTGTACCACCGGGTTGAACTTCCTGTCTGTTTTTTTGTGGTAGGTCACTCAGCCGATAAGCAAACCAGAACGTCTGGCCCTTCATCCAAATACAACCCCCCATACGGTCAAGACTGGCATCGCATGATGCCAGGACAAGGCTAACCGGTTCGGAATTACCGTATCTTGTCATATACTCAACAGGAGATGATTCAAAAATCTTCTCCAGGGCAGTCATCCTGCCTTGAAGGAAGGATCAGGGTATCGAAACACCTGTAGCTTCAAGCCAATCTTTTACCCGCTTAGGAATCTTCTTATGTGCAGTGCAAGTGAATGCATCGCCAAAGATGCCGCCAGGACCCATGGAAAACCTAGCAGAGTCTCTCTCAGCTGTAGATCTCGGAGGCTCCCATGAACCATCTCGACTGCTATCCAAACCAAGAACTGTAAGGTTTTTGCCTTCAACCTTTTCAACAGGGCTTAGGGACAATTGATGTGAGGGAACCAGCTTATCAAAGTCGGCCGAAGCACCCAGGTCTAACTGTTCCAGTGCAAGCTTCATTTGAGGAGTGAGCTCATACTTCATATCCCAACCTTCCGTGGCATGATCAAACCACGTCCGTAACTGGTTCATAGCCAAACGAGCCGGTGCATAGCAATAGGTTGGGTCGAAGTATCGCCCACATAGTGCAAAAGCTTGCCGTTTGCTCAATACAGATGGTACCAATACCTCTCCAGCATCTATACTGGGGCAGTCAGTAGAGAGTTCATTACTACTCGAGATTTCCCGGACTAAGTGAGAAACTTCCGAGTCACTACTCA